CTTTTGAATGGCTATCCAATCCCGTACCGCATAATTTATAAGCCTTCGCGGGTCGTCCCGCGGGACGTCCTCTTCAGCTTCCTTCGTGAATGTTAAAGTAGAAGAGTTGTGTAAAGAAGTTGAAGAGAGCTGAACAACATCGATCGCAACAACATCCAATGTGATCACTCACTGGTTTAATGGTATTGAAGTAAGTGAGAGCCATTTGGACAGTGAAATTTAACTCTTTCATAAATATTCCTTGTTTGATTCTTTGTAAAGCAATGTTTCTTCATAGCAACAATAACTTAATACTAATGGTTTTTTCTTTTCTTTCAACTAAGCTATTGAACTTAGAGTACAAAAACAAGATTCTGCAGTAACCCAAACTCTCATTTCGAGCCGTTTAAAGAAAAAACAGTAGCTCTTCAACAAGCAGTAGCTCTTTAACAACATCATCGTAACAAAATTTAATTTTTTTTTAAAACACCACTGACAATACTGAAAACAAAACTCATCAACTTAAACAAGAAAATTCCACATAGTAATAAGACAATTTATAGTACTGAAAAAAAAACCAAACAAAAATGGGGACTTATGGTTGCGGTTTTCAAAATCCCGCTGGTTAACCTGTCCCACATTCGGCCCGTCCCGTTTTGAACCCGTCTGCATTCGACCCGTCCCATTTTGTGTCTGTCCACGAGGCCCGCAATTTTGTGGACTTATCAAATGAAGACCCAATTCCACCCTGCAGCAAGCTTTTACGTGCCAGACCCGCGGTCCAGATATTTGATTGCCATCCCTATTTGTAAATAGACAAAAATTTGTTTTGTTTGAATTGTATTGTTCTTAAAGTGATTTTTTGGTTTTCAAAAATTCTGACTTGCGCTTTCGGCAGAATAAATGTGAATTTACAATTCAAAAGTAATATTTAACAATTATAATAACTAACTTAATTATCTTTTTATTCTATTGAAATGATTCAAGTTTCAAAAACAACTATTAATAACTAACTTAGTAACCCTTTTTATTTATATTGAAACTATTTAGTTATATTGATTTGGAGATACAAATCTTGCATTTCAGCTTTACAATTTTTACTTATCCATAGTCCCAAGACATTATTTGAAAATTGTTTGAATAGGTGTTTTCACCACAATCATTTGAAAATCTAGTGACGTGTCCCATTAAAAAATGGTGGCATGCATTCTATTTAATTATGACATGACTTGTTATAACACACAGCTCAGCTATAAAAAAGTCAAAAGAATAAATGTATGGTAATTACCATAGTAAAAATAAATAATTTAAATATTAGGTATATTTATTATAAGCATAATAAATTAAATATTCATTTCTTAGTATTTTATATATTTTTATTGTTCCTAATAAAACGTGCTTTATATCATAGCATTATAAAAATTTAAAATCTGAAAATAATTTTTTTTTTTGTAAAATAGTATGTGGTTTTATATTTGTAAAAATTATCCATTTTACAAAATATATTTCAAAAATATAATATTACTTTTAAATTGTGTCATTACCATATTATTTATAGATAATACACTACTACTTTAAAAAAGTTGTTACATGATGTTAAAATTATTGTAACATGATCAATTTATTATTGATATATATTAAAATTTGATAAAAAATAGAAATTTTAATAGTATCAAAGCTAACTATTTTTAATAAATATATATACTTTTCTTTGGATTTTTAAATAAACAAACATCTATTTAAGTTTATTACTCAATGTAAAGGTAAGTCTAATCAAATTTCAAAATGAAATAACATATTTAAAATTTTATTGCAATAAAATCATTTAATTGAGTGATTAGCATTCCATTCATTAGGTTTAATAAATAGTTTTATAAGTTAATTTTGTAAAGTAAACAAAAAACTAAATTTATTAAATTTTATATTTTTCATAAATAAAATAGTAGAAATTTCTTATTTTATAATTACATATAATTTATTTAATTAAATTAATTGAAATAAAATCAGGTTAAAATTAAACTAAATAAAAGCTACAAATGATTACTTTATACTTTTCAAAAATTAATAAGTTCAAACTAATTAATTCATTAAAATTAAATATTCTAAAAGTTATTGTTTCTGCGCATGGTGAAAAAAACATCTAGTCAAATATTTAGATAATAAAACTTTAACTAGATGCAGTATCAAATGTTCATGTAACAATATCCAAATAAACAACATTTAAGCATGGCCATCCAAGTGCAACCACTAGATACAAAAGCTAACATGACTAAATTTTAAAATTTTGAGATGTAAATTTTACATTTGACATCTACATTTTTACATCACAAATATCTAGATACTTTAGTCATTAAAGATTTTGAATCCAAATGCAATATACAGATATAGATGGAATTATGTCCAAATGAAACATCTCAACCTTTTGCATCCAAATGAGAAACATCTCAACTTGTTTGGATACAAAAACGAACATACTTCTTGGTTTAAACATTCTGAAGAAAGATTAGCACATCTCATACAACGATTTAGTTGAAACTGGCAGTTGTGTAAATCAAAAGATAACCTTATCTATCATGGTCGGTTTTGAGATTTTAATAGTTAAAGACAATTTAATAAGAGTTTGTATAAGTTTTCTTTTTAAAATTTAACTTTCTTAATATTTTGAGAGTTATAAGTCAATGCTCAGTTGCTTATGCTCAGAATTACCTATGTTATCTATATAATGTTGGAATATGAGATTAACTTGATTAAAAATAATTTAAAGAGATTGCAGAAAAAATAATAAAGATATTTTTTTTTAGTCTTTACAATTGTAGCTATTAGGGACAAATGTCCCACATCGATAGTTAGAAAGGATTCTAAGTAGTATATAAGAAATATGATGTAATCCATTTATCACCAATTGGTTTTAGGTTGTAAACTCATCTGTCTTAATATGGTATCATAGTCCACAATCCACGCAGTCTAACCCGATCTATTATCAATCCAGCCCAAAGTCAGTCTATCGATATTTGTCCAAACATTCCAAGATTTCTTTCTCAAAGAGCCATCATATATTAGAGACAAATGTCCACATCGATAGTCAGAATTAAGGATCTTAAGTAGTATATAAGATAGATATGTTAATCCGCTTATCACCAATTACTTTTAAGTTGAAAGCCCAACTACAAAAGATTATAAATAACTTTACCATATTAGGGAATCAAAATACTTTTGTGGGTAAAAATGTTTAGTGGAATCAAAATACTTACTTCAAAAACTTAAATGAAAACAAATATTTGGCTTTATTGGCCTTCCGCGTCTGTTTTCATCTGTGGTCACTTCTTCACTCTAACATATAGATCATGATTAATCTGGATTTCTTAAGACGAGGTTCTTAGCGGAAGTTAAGAAACTGTTTCTTAATTTTTAACTAAAAACGCTAAGAGCATGATGAACTCCCGGGTTCTAAAGACGAGATTCTTAGCGGAAACTAAGAAACTGTTTCTTAACTTTTAACTGAAAACGCTAAGAACCGGTTCTTAAATGAGGACTTTAAGAATCGATTCTTAGCATTTTTAGTTAAAAGTTAAGAAACAGTTTCTTAACTTCCGCTAAGAACCCTGTCTTAAGAACCTCGGGTTAATCATGGTCTAAGAACCAGTTCTTAAAGTCCTTATTTAAAAACCGATTCTTAGCGTTTTCAGTTAAAAGTTAAGAAACAGTTTCTTAGTTTCCGTTAAGAACCCCGACTTAAGAACCTGGGGTTAATCATGCTCTTGATATCCTCGAACAAGTCGTATAGTATTACGAACACATTTTTTGCCGTCGAATTATTTCCTCTTTATAAATGATAAGGGTCCTTGTTAATAAGTAACTAGATTTTGACCCGTGCAACCGCACGGGTGTTTGTTCGTGTATAAGTAGTTATATAAACATTTTGTTTTCACTTGTAAATTGGTATATATCATAGTAATCACATATTTACGATATGTATAGTAAATGTTTTTCAAACATAATAATATTATATAATACAATGTTTTAATCAAATAGATTATTTCAAATTTTCTATATTATACATGTTTGAATTCAAACATGTGTTTGTTTCTTCTTCTATATTTTATAGTTTGTTAGATTAGTATTTCATTTTAAAATAAATTAATATAAATAGAGCTTGATTAACTATTAGTATACTTTAATTTTCAAAGATAATATAAACTTTGAAGAAATTTTTGCTAAAAACTAAACTTATAGCTTCATAAATTAATATTATAAAGAATTTTATTAAAAATAAATTTTTAAAGAATTTCTTTTTTTAAAACAATATAATTTAAAATTTTACATCGAAATAAATTTATCTAGTATATATAACGTGTAAACTTTGTTAGGGTATATAAATATTCTATATTACGAATATGTGATTTTTGTTAATATATTGTGGATTCATTTAACTATTATTGACATATTTCTTTATAAATAATAGAAGATTCCTAAACTTATATCTTTTGACATATTTTGCATGACTAAGTTGGAAGGTGTGGGATAATTTACCAAAACGGAATTGTTAAGCGTATATTTGTTACTATAGATATGATTTTTCATAAGATATAATAATGATAAGATTATTAGAGAGTTAATGTAACATGACTTTCTAGTAATAGTCCATTTTAAAAAAAAATCACGCATGAAGTCAAGTCATGACTTCTGTTTTAATATATAAGATTATAAATGAAAATTATGAAATGAAAAGTCAAGTCTTCGCAAAATGCCTCGACGTGAAGTTTCAAAAAATATCTCGACGTGGTTTTACTTTTCGTATCCACATACTTTTCTATAGTTTATTATTCGACTAAGAATAATAAATACTAATACACTTGCTTGAGTCCTCTATAAAAGACCCTCACTCAGTGACTCAAGTCATCATCTCCTTCCTTCTCAATTTCCGTAACAACTCTTTATACTCTCTGCTTCTTGTTTTTTAATTTCTTGCTGGTCTCTTTGTTTTCCTCTTTAAACCCTTTAGGCCAAGGTTTTGTCTCGAAATGGCTTCTTCCAATGAGAACGATGATGTTCCCATGCTTCCAGTTTCAGACACATCATCATCTCGTACTAGGTCACGTAGCATTTCCCTAGCGAACACTTCTTCCACCATTGACGTATTTGAAAACTCGAGTGTTGGTTTAGGCTACACAGATCCTCTGGGGACCCAGAGACGGCCTCCTCCTTCTACTGGTGGTTCTTCTGATTTCATTGGTGCCTCCTCCTCTCAGCCTGAGTTGGTCTCGAAACATGAACATCTTCTGATATCTGGAAAATTGGGGATGTGTAATGATCCTTACTGTACCAGTTGCCCTCCAGACTACAAACTCAAAGCTGCTAAAATCTCCACTTCTGGTTCCACGGTATCTTGTTTTGTTTTTATTTATTTACTCTACAATCAGTTTGAGACGTAAGTAAATGTTAGCTTGAGACTCAAGTAGATTTTGTTGAATGACCGAGTCTTTTCTTTTATGTCTTGCTAGCCCCGTAATGCCCTGGATGATGATGCTAATAAGGGCTGGTTTAGGCGATTTGCTACATCTATTGATAAATGCTTACCGTTACCGAAAATCATGGAGCCTCACTCTAAAACCGTTCAGAGCAGGAATAAATTCTTTGCCTATACATGCTTGTTCTCTATTTTCGTAGATCCCTTCTTTTTCTACCCCATAGAAGTCAATGAGGTATGAGATATCTCTCTTTTTCTTCTCATGTTTTGTGCCATTGTGCTTAAGCACCACCGTTTTTCATACTTCAGGAGGACAGATGCATTAAGATCAATTGGCTGTTGGCTAACATAATTGTAGCTATCAGATTTTTAGCGGATGCTTTGTACTGTATTAACATCCTATTTCAGGTGTGTTTCCTTTTGCTTTCATTTTGTTATAAGAGAATCTGTTGGCTTACTGCTTCTTATTTCATATTTTGTTGCAGTTTCGAATGGCATATGTAGCTCCCGAGTCTACGGTTGTTGGTGCTGGCCAGTTGGTTTATGATCCAATAAAAGTTGCTGGCCGCTACTTACTAGGAAAGTTTAAACAAGACATTTCAATAGTGATACCAATTCCACAGGTGTCATAATGTTAGAGCTACACCAGTTTTAAAAAATATGTTATTGGAATATTTACGTTTACCGTTGATCTCTCCTTTCTCTTTTCTCTGTTCATTACAGATACTGATGCTATGGGTGATACCACACGTGTTAGGCATATCTGGGGCAAACGATATAAAGAACCTTTTACGCACTGCAATTCTTATCCAATGTCCTATAAAGTTACATAGGCTTATTCATCTTCTAGCCGGACAAAGACCGACAGGGTTCATGTTTAAGTCAGCTAGGGCTAACTTTTTTATTAATCTTTGCACCTACATGCTTGCTGGACATGTTGTTGGCTCTTGCTGGTATCTTTTTGGTTTGCAGGTATGAAAAAAGTTCCAAGACTTGTATCATTGACTTTACACTAATATTCTTTTTAAGAAAAAGAACTAGATTCTGATTATTCATTCATCTTCTTTCAAATTGTATTTATTAATCTTCTTTCAAATTCTTGTCTATATGAATACTCAATTACTAGTTTGGTTTGAAGAGTCTAAATGATTCTGATGTGTGATACGCATGAATATTTCTAACAAAATCTAATTTACATACTTAAAATATTTCAACATTTTTATGTGTATTTGATTTTAAAAAATATATATAATATATTATTTGTATTTACAAACAAGAAATTTATATAAGATATAACCTAATTTTATTTTTCAATTTTTTTAACCCTTAGCATTATCATTTTATATAAAATCTCTGTAATTTATTCGAATAATTATGTGATATATATATATATATATATTTGATAAATATTTAATTATATAATTAGTTGATGTCAATTTATTGACTTGAACATTTATACAAAATATGAAATTTAATATGAATTTTTTTTTATTTATTAAATAATTTGGAAAAATATTAATAAAAATTTATTAAAAATAAAACATAGTGTTTATTTTGTTTAGACACAAGATTAATTATTGTGTTGTTTAGATACATATATTTAATTCTATAAATTATTTTAATTAAATTTTAGTGTTTTTGATATGTTATATAATATAACATATAACTAAATGTTATGTCTAACCAAATGTTTTTGTTTCAATAAGAGAGATTAGACTAATATTATGTTTTTTAGTCACTTCTCTTGTCTTAACCAACGGAATGGAAGATGTGTATATTTATTTTTAGTGGTTTATTGATTCTTCTCGTTGCATGCTTCCTTTTTTGTCTCTTGCAGAGAGTTAATCAATGTCTTAGAGATGCTTGCGATTATTCTGATTCTGCATGCAAACAACTAATAGATTGTGGTCGTGATCATGAAGCGGAAGTTTTAGATGCTTGGAAAGGTAACGTGAGTGCCAGTGCTTGTTTTGAGGAGGGTGGTTTTCAATATGGAGTATATTGGAAGGCAGTCAATCTCACTCATGACCCTAATGTGCTCACAAGATACACATACTCTCTTTTCTGGGGGCTTCAGGTAATTCAAGTTTACACAACTCTTCAACTAGTTTGCATTGGCTGGCATAATGTTGAACTCTTGAGTTATTATTGTTTATTACTTTCAAAAGCAAATCAGCACGCTCGCTGGAAACCAAGTCCCAAGTTACTTTATTTGGGAGGTCTTATTTACCATGGCTATCATCGGACTGGGGCTTTTCCTTTTCGCGTTTCTTATTGGTAATATGCAGAACTTCCTTCAGTCTCTCGGCCGCAGGTAAAATTACTCTCATCAATCGCTGTACAAGAGAAGATATCGATCAAGACATGATGGATGATCATCTCTCTGTTTACTATGTTTTGTCCACCTTAGGAATATGGAAATGACTCTAAGACAGCGTGATGTGGATCAATGGATGAGACATAGACTGTTTCCAGAACGCATAAAAATGTATGTATGTGAACTATGAAGAACTACTTGGTCTCATCACTAACTGTAAAGCTAACTGAATAGTTGTTTTTCTATATTTAAAGGAGGGTGCAAGAATCTGAGTGGTTTCACTGGACTGCTAGTGGAGGAATTAACGAAGAATTGCTCTTGGAGAATATGACGGATGACATTCAAAGAGATATAAAACGACATCTCTTCGCATTTCTCAATAAGGTAAACATCAGAGTCCATTTCCTTCTCTCTTCGATTGTTGAAAATGCTAATGGCTTTGCATAGGTGAGGATATTTTCGAAGATGGATGAACCATTCTTAGATGCCATCCGTGAGAGGCTGAAACAGAGGACTTACTTAAAGAGTAGCATGGTCTTGGACCGCAATGGTCTAGTTAATAAAATGGTATTCATAGTGAGAGGTAAGATGGAGAGCATTGGAGAAGAAGGTTCTCGTACTCCTTTATTAGAGGGAGACGTTTGTGGTGAAGAACTTCTCACTTGGTGCAAAGAACGCTCTTCTGGTAACATCCTTTGTTGACTCTTTGTGCTCATACCTCTCAATGTTTCCGGTTAAACCTCAAAACATAAAGTATACACTTAGATGACAATGTATAGGGGAACTGGTTATTCTTTGAAATTTTCAGATGGGACTAGTTGTGATGATATGGGCCCAATATCAAATCAGTTTACTTCTGACCCAAGAAAAGCCCAAGACGAAAGAGTGTCCACCAAGGAATGATTTCCTTTCTTCTCCTAATGTTGGCTACGGCAATTCACGAGATGTGTAAAGAAAAGGGAATTATACAAAAGCTAATGGGATTAGGAAAGGCAATAGCTTTTAGTATAAATAAAGNAGAGAGGCAAGATCAATAAGAGAGATAAAGAAAGATCAAGAGAGATTAGCAAATTAAGAGAGGTTTTTGCTTTGGTTTATCTTGTGATCTTTATAGTTTGTTCTTGAGACATTATTCTTGAAAGAGTGAACAAAGATAGGTTTTTGGCATCAAGTTTATTCTAAATTCTATAGCACAAAGTAGGTTTAAAACCTAACAAGTGGTATCAGAGCAATCCAGGTTTGATTGGAAGTGCTAGTTAGAATTATGGAACCAACTCGAGGAAAGTTTGAGATGGAGAAGTTTGATGGCAAAGGTGACTTTGGGATGTGGAAGTTCAAGATGATGGGACAGCTGGAGATCCAAGGTCTACTTTCGGTTCTTAAGGAAGATTTTACAGTCTTGACAGAATCTGGAAAAGAAGTAGAAGGAACGGATCCAAAGGTTGATCAGAAGAAGGCTGATAAGGATCTGAGAGTAAGAAGTCTCTTGGGAGCGTGTTTGAGTGATTCTATTCTAAGGAAGATTATGCATGAAACAACTGCATTAGGTATGTGGAAGGCCCTCGAAAAGAATTATCAAACAAAGTCTCTTCCCAACAGAATCTACTTGAAGAAACAATTCTCTTGCTACAAGATGGAAGAGGACAAGACGATAGAAGACAACGTGGATATTTTTCTGAAGCTAATTGCAGACTTGGAGAGTCTCAAAGTTACCATATCAGATGAAGATCAAGCAATTCAACTATTGTCGGGACTTCCAGAAGCATATGAACAATTGGTTCACACACTCCAGTATGGAACTGGGAAAGAAACGCTTACCGTGAATGAAGTTGTAACTTCAGCTTATTCCAAAGAAGCGGAACTTAAGCAAAAAGGATTACTTAATAAAAGTAAACCAGCTTCTGAAGGATTATATGTTGAGTCACGTGGAAGAACTCAGAAAAAGTCAGGGAATAATAATAATAATTGGAGAGGGAGATCTAAAAACAGAGGAAAGTTTCAGTCGGATCAGAGATCTGATGAGAACAACACGGGTTGTTTTATTTGTGGAAAAGAAGACCATTGGAAGCGGGAATGTCCTGAAAGAAGGAGACGTCCAAATTCTGCAAATTTTACAAGGGAGCCTGTACAGCCATTGGTGTTAACTGTTAGCAAGCGAGATACACGCAAGGAATGGATCATGGATTCAGGTTGTTCATTCCATAGTACACCTGACAAAGAAGTCTTATTTGATTTCAAGGAGTACGACGGGGGAAGTGTATTAATGGCTAATAACACTAGAGGTAGCATCAAAGGAACGGGCAAGATTCAGATTCAGATTCAGAATCCAGATGGTTCTAAAGTGATACTCAAGGATGTTAAATACATGCCAGAAGTGAGTAGGAATTTGATATCTTATGGGATGCTAGAAAAATCAGGTTGTAGGTACGTAGGACGCGGCTTCAAGGTTCAGTTTTACAAAGCTAAGAAGAAAGTAATCTCAGGAAAATACAAAGATGGGTTGTATTTTCTTGACGGAACGGTTGTAAAGAGTAAAGTGGATATTCCAAAAGCTGAGAAGGAAGCTAGAGAAAAGAAATTAAAGAAGGTGTCCTTCAGCGACAATCTAGTTCAGGGACCAAGTCCGTATGGGTTTAGAAAAGAAAAGTCATCAGCTCAAGGTGGAGACTCTTTTTCAATAGAAAAATTTGAGTCAAGAAAAGAAGCTGATAATGGGAAGTTTCTAGATGATTATTGTCTTTCAAAGTTGGAAGATAAAAGTAATGATAAAGCATCATCAAAAGAGAATCAAAGGCTTGACGGGTTCAAGAAAGATTCAGAGGTTTGCATTGAAAGTTTTTCAAACTCAGATTATGCAACAAGCTTAGATGAGGATGAATCGACGACAGGGTTTCAGTTCAAGGTTAGTGATGCAGAAGTCGATTCTATCATTACAACAACTAGGAAGGAAGATGTATCAAACAAGATAGATACTACGGCTAATCATGTAGAGTGGTTAAAAGAAAGTGCACCTGATCAGAAGTTGCAGCCTTGCTGTGAACTTCCTAATGTCCACTAATAGGAGAAAAGCGTCACAGGTAAGTTTATTATCGATACACCTCGCACAAGAAGAAATAATGAGTAAGGACATACTGTTATTTCTCATCGATAATAAAAAGGCTAGTAAGGAACAAGAAAAGTTACCTGTGACGGATAAGACGAGGTGGGTGTTTTAGTTTAAGGTGGAGCAGCTGAAACAAAGGAAAATTGCTAATAGGTCTCAAACAAATCGGATGAAGGGAAGGGAAGTATGTTAAAGTAATACCTGAGAGAACGTCTTAAACACCATAGTGGTGAAGGGAGACGAGTATCTCAGGCTAGAGAAGAATCACAGGGTTGCCAAGCAAAAGGGGAAGGTTGATGAGAAACGTCTTAAACACCATAGTGGTGAAGGGAGACGAGTATCTCATGTTCGGGAGAAGCAAAGGAGAACGTTGTCTAAGAAGCTGAAAAGTTGATATGTCACAAGATGAAGTATACCGGATAAACTAAAGGAAGATCCGTGAGAGTCGTCAAAGGTTTCACTATCAGGATCATGACAAAGAAAAAAAAAAGTGTTTTTTAGTGATAATCAGGTCATAACTATGAAATAAAGAAGCTTTGAGAAGAGGACTAGAAGAAGGTCTCACCAGAAAACTGCAGAACTCTGGTGAAACTAGTTCGTCTAATCATCCTCGAAGAAAGAGTCATCTCGTGGTAACGACAGTTCCGTAAAGGATGAGAAACCGCTAAGGATGCGCATCAGTGGTTTGAATCTTACGGATTAGAGATACTGAGAAAATTTTGAAAATCAAAGTTATGATTTTGAAAAGTATTTGGTGAGATTGCTAGGAATCAAAACCAAAGATCACTACATGATCAAAGAAATTAGTTAAGGAAAAAGTAATTTCAAAAGGTTACGGGGTCATGACCTGTGTTGACTAGCAACAATGGTGGAGTGGAGGATCACGATGAATTCCATCAGAGAAGTTGAATTGTTGTTACAGTGATGGAGTGACGGAGTAGTAGATGACGAAGGCATAACGGTGGTCAGACTTCACGGACTCAAGTTTGGATCCATGAGCGTCGGAGGTGGAGGCGAGTTTTGATCGAGACAGAAACGTTCGGCGGTCGGGATCACACCGGCGAGGTGGAGTGTCATCAGGGAAGCTTCACATCTGAGGAAAAGGGATGACATATCAATTGGCAGAAACGGCAGGAAACTTGGCAAAGCTTCAATGATCTCGAATTGTGTTTGGAAAAGAAACCGGAGCGGAGAAGACTTGATGGAGGTAGTGACTGTGTATGTGTCACAAGGATCGTCAAGCTACGGAGAAGAAATGGTGAGATGGTGGCGTTGCTTAACGAAGAAGACGCAAAGGGAGGAGAATGGATTTGGGCCCAAGGTGGAGATTGTGATGATATGGGCCCAATATCAAATCAGTTTACTTCTGACCCAAGAAAAGCCCAAGACGAAAGAGTGTCCACCAAGGAATGATTTCCTTTCTTCTCCTAATGTTGGCTACGGCAATTCACGAGATGTGTAAAGAAAAGGGAATTATACAAAAGCTAATGGGATTAGGAAAGGCAATAGCTTTTAGTATAAATAAAGNAGAGAGGCAAGATCAATAAGAGAGATAAAGAAAGATCAAGAGAGATTAGCAAATTAAGAGAGGTTTTTGCTTTGGTTTATCTTGTGATCTTTATAGTTTGTTCTTGAGACATTATTCTTGAAAGAGTGAACAAAGATAGGTTTTTGGCATCAAGTTTATTCTAAATTCTATAGCACAAAGTAGGTTTAAAACCTAACAACTAGGACAACGGGATTACTTAGCAAGAGAGATGTTTGGTGCGTGACAAACGTGGAGGGATTTTCACTCAGTGCAGCAGATCTTGAAGACGTCATGAGTTTGTTCCCGAATCTCGAGATTCCTAAGGAGTCATAAGGTATGAATCTCCATAGTGGTTAGGCAGATTCAAGTGGGTTGGAGATATAGAAGGAGACGGTTTCGGAGATTGTACTGCTCAGTCTATTAGATTGTAATCGTCATTCTCGATAGATATTTGATGATATTAATTAGCTTGGTGTTGTGTTTCAAAAAAAAAAAAAATGCGCTTGGTGTTGTCATAAATTATATTACACGATGTATTTGTCGAATTAATAAGATCATTTCACCTAAGTTTAGATTGAATAACATCTCAATAACGTCATTACCTTTCTATTTCTCCTCCTTCAAAGATTAGGTGAGTCTATAGGTACAGCTTGAAAGATAGGGAATTAGCAGAATTCCTATATATAATCCCGGAGCATTATAATATTTGAATGTAATCACGTGGCATTTGTAGTGCATAAAAAAAATATTTTTTTTTCTTTCGTTAAATAAAAACTATAGAATTACCTAATATAAATAAATGAATGCCAATGACTACACCAATTATGCTTAATTGTATGGTGACATGCAACAAGTTTCTAAAATTTTATTTCAATAACTTGGAATGTTTTCTAATCAAATTAATAATATACAGGTCTATTCAAAAAGCTTCCTACCTACAAAATGTGTGATAATATATGTCTCAAGTATTGAATTACACCAACTATCATAAGTTGTGATAAACACCAAAATTTTATAATTATGTTACAAAATCATTATTTGAAATACTTTCTTATCGAATTAAAAAGATACGAAAACTTCATAAATTTCTGAATATTGAATTTGATCCATGCTCAAAATCAGATTTGAGTCTTAAATTCGGCCTTATCCTTGATCAACCAATTAAAATGGAGATTTATTGAATTGGCTATATTTCATTTTTTATTAACTCTGATATTGAATAATTAATTTAAAAACAAAAGACATGGAATAAAAATTGGTAAAAAAATTCTGAATTTGATTACAAATCAATGAGTATTATTCATCATTTTATTGTGCTTGAATTATTATTGGTTAATTACTCAATTTTTAAATGAGAACTAAATAACATAAAATGTAATACTCAATTTGTCTTCGTTTAGTAGCTTGAATGGTTTAGATCATATGAGTCATTTACTTGTATTCGTAGTGGTTTAAACATCTGAGTCTTAGATAAACTTATCTGGATACGAAATCCGCAAACAAGTAGCATACGAACTCATTTTTTAGCCATCGAACTATTTACACTTTTTATAAATGATAAGGGTTCATGTTAATAAACAATTATAAACGAAAATTAAGAAATGAAAAGTCAGTCTCCGCAAAATGTTAAGTCTTCGGACAATTCTGAAATGAAAGTTGTTGCCACAAACAAACAAAAAAAAGTCAGTCGTCTCAAAATGCTTGGACGTGGCTTTACTTTTTATATCCACACACTTTTCGTTAGCTTATCGATCGACTAAGAATAATAAATAATCCACCTACTTTACTTCTCTATAAAAGACACTGGTCCAGTGACTCAAGTCATCATCTCCTCCCTTACTCAATTTTCCGTAACTCTCTATAGTCTCTGCTTCACTTATGCCCTAGCTTCTTCTTTTTCTTCTTACTGGTCTCTTTATTTTCTTCTTGAAGCCTTTCTCCAGCCCAAGATTTTGTCTCGAAATGCCATCGCCCAACGAGTACGATAATGTCCCCATGCTTCCAGTTTCAGCCACATCATCATCTCGTACTTCCCCAGGAAACACTTCTTCCACCATTGACGTATTTGAAAACTCGACTGTTGTTTTAGGCTACACAGATCCTGTTGGGACCCAGAGAAGGCCTCCATTAGTGAAAATGAGTGACCCTCTTGCCTCTACTCGCAGTACTGTGCCTCCCTTTACTCTTCCTCCTGGTGGTTCTTTTGATTCTGGCACTTCTGATTCTTCGGTATCTTGTTCTGATATTCTTTACATTACAATCAGCTTAAGACTTACTTGAGAATCAAGTAAATGTTAGCTTGCGCCTTAAGTAAATTTTGCTGAAATACCAAGTCTTTTCTTCTACCTTGTTAGTTACATAATGCTCTGGATGAGGATGACGCTAAAGGCTGGGATAGGCGATTTGCTACATATGCTGATAAATACTTACCCAAAATCAGGAATCCGCACTCTAAACACGCTCAGATCTGGACCAAATTCTTTGTCCTTTCATGCTTGTTGTCTATTTTCGCAGATCCCCTCTTTTTCTTCCCCATAGAAGTCTATAAGGTATGAGATATCTCTCATTTGCTTCTCATGTATTGTATTCTTGCGCTTGAGCACCATCCATCTTTCATACTGCAGAAAGACATGTGCATGAGGATCGATTGGCGGACGACTAATGCATTGGTAGCTGTTAGAAGTTTAACTGATGTTTTATTCGGTGTAAACATCCTGCTTCAGGTGTGTTTTATTTTTATTTCACTTTTTATAAGAGAATCTGCTGGCTTACTGCTTCTTATTTCATATATATTGTTGCAGTTCCGATGGGCATATGTAGCTCCTGAGTCTACGGTTGTTGGTGCTGGCCAGTTGGTTGTTGATCCAATAAAAATTGCTAGCCGTTACTACCGAGGAAATTTCTTCCTAGACTTGTTCATAGTGTTGCCACTTCCACAGGTATCATAGTGTTCGAGGTACACCAGTTTTGTGTATTATTTATAAAAATATAACTGGAATATGTTTGTGGTTTTACCGTTGATCCCTCATTTGTATTTTTCTTTTGGTTACAGATATTGTTAGTAGGGGTAATTCCACAACACTTGGGTACATCTTGGGCAAACAGTACAAAGAACCTTTTACGCTTTGTGGTTCTTGTCCAATACATTCCAAAGTTACATAGGCTTTTTCCTCTTCTAGCCGGACAAACACCAAAAGGGTTCATAGTTGAGTCGGCATTGGCTAAATTTTTTATAAATCTTCTCACCTTCATGCTTGCTGGTCATGTTGTTGGCTCTTGTTGGTATCTTTTTGGTCTGCAGGTATGGAACTTGTATCATTCACTTTAAACTAATTTCCTCTTTTTGAATGAAGTAAACTAATTAATATATTTTATTGTGTATAATCCCTCTGTTTTATAAAAAAAAAGTGTCATTTATAAATAATTTTATTTATCTCAGATACTATTGGTTAGAGAGGTATAATTTGTGTGAAAAAGGTCAAAGTGACACTTTATTCAGAAACCGAGGGGGTATTTCTAGTGGTTGATTGTTATTGTTGCATGCTCCCTTTTTTGTCTTTTGCAGAGAGTTAATCATTGCCTTCGAGATGCTTGCGGTAATTCTGGTTATGAATGCAAACAACTAATAGATTGTGGTCGTGAAAAAAATAGCCAAATTTTACAAGCGTGGAGAAGAAATGTTAGTGCCAATGCATGTTTTCAAGAGGACGGTTTTCATTACGGAATCTATTGGAAGGCAGTCAATCTCACCACTAACACTACTGTTTGGTACACAAGATACAGTTACTCTCTTTTCTGGGGGTTTCAGGTAATTCAAGTTTACACAACTGTTCAACTAGTTTGCATTGGTTTGACATAATGTGGAACTCTTGAGTTATTGTCAATTGTTTACTACTCTCAAAAGCAAATCAGCACGCTTGCTGGAAACCAAGTCCCAAGTTACTATTTCGGGGAGGTCTTATTTACCATGATTATCATCGGTCTGGGGCTTTTGCTTTTCGCGTTTCTTATTGGTAATATGCAGAACTTCCTTCTGTCTCTCGGCCGCAGGTAAATAACTCCCATCATTGTATAAAAGAAGATATCTCAAGACATGGTAGATGATCTCTCTCTTGAATGTGTTTTGTCCACCTTAGGGATATGGAAATGACTCTAAGACGCCGTGATGTAGAGCATTGGATGAGCCATAAACGGTTTCCAAAAGACATAAGAAAGTATGTAAACTATGCCTCGCCTTACACGTTAATTTCTGAAGACTAATAAGTCGTCTCATCACTAGCTGTAAAGCTAACTGAATAGTTGTTTCTATTATTTCAGGAGGGTGCGAGATGCTGAGCGGTTAAACTGGAATGCTACAAGAGGAGTCAACGAAGAATTGCTCTTTGAGAATATGCCTGATGACCTTCAAAGAGATATAAGACGACACCTCTTCGCATTTCTCAAGAAGGTAAACATCATAGTCCATTTCCCGTAATGTTGGCTCTCTTTCCTTCTCTTTTCTTTGATTATTGAAAATTTTAATGGCTTTGCAGGTGAGGATATTTTCGAAGATGGATGAACCAATTTTAGATGCCATCCGTGAGAGGCTGAAACATAAGACTTACTTGAATGATAGCATTATCTTGCACCGCGGAGATCTAGTTAAAAAAATGGTATTCATAGTGAGAGGCAAGATGGAGAGTACTGGAGAAGACGGTTCTAGTACTACTTTATTAGAGGGAGACGTTTATGGTGAAGAGCTTCTCACTTGGTGCGAACGCTCTTCTCTAAACCCTGGTACATCCTTTTGTTGACTCTATAAGCTCATAACTCTCAATGTTTTGGGTTAAAAACTTTAAACATAAAGTATACACTTAGATGACAATGCATATGTGAACTGGATATATGCTTTGAAATTTTCAGATGGGACTAGGATAAGGATGCCATCAAAGGGATTGCTTAGCAACAGAGATGTTAAGTGCGTGACGAACGTGGAAGCGTTTTCACTCAGTGTAGCAGATCTTGAAAACGTCGTGACCTTGTTCCCGACTCTCGAGATTCCTAAGGAGTCATAGAGTGCAAGGATCCATAAGGTATGAATCTCCATAATGGAGGCTACGATCTGCTAGGCAGATTCAAGTGGCTTGGAGATACAGAAGGAGAGGGCCTCGGAGATTGTACTGCTCTGTCTATTAGATTTTAATCTTCATTCTCGATGGATATATAAGCTTGGTGGTTGTCATACAACTATATTATACGATGTATATGTCACTTTAATAAGATCATTTTCACCTAAGTTTAGATTGCTAAACATCTCAACCGTAGTTACCCCCTTTCAAATTCTCTTCCTTCAAAGATTACATGTAAATTTCCAACTTTCTTACTTGTATAAATTGTGAAAAGCAAAAAGAGATCGATGTGGTATGGTTTTGTGTATGATGCGTAAATGGTTTTGGTGAAATCAACACAATAATAATAAATAATAAAACAAGTGACTCTCCTCGAAGTAAGTTTTTTAAATGGAAAACCTCAAAAAAAGCCACGTAAGAAATTTCCCTTGATCCTACTGATGTGGAAGTAGTTGAAATAAAGGGGTCTAGGTTTTAAACTTGGAAGTGACCACTTATGATTCTGAATGTTCTGGTGTCTCTGTATCTTTGTTTCTTTCGTGGACTATTGTGTTCATATGTTCATTCATAATGTGTGTTCTTCTCCAATACTTTGTTGGTTTTATTAGTACGACCAGTTCACTTATATCCTGATATGCTTTACTCATTTGCATGTTTTATCTCGTAGTAGCAGGTGAAATTATGCTTATAAAAAGGTACAAACATTATTTACAATAAATTTTAAGCTAAATACTCTATATGTTCCTAAATAATCTATGTTTTAGAATTTTCACACTTATTAAGAAAACACTTAAATTTTTGATAATAAATGCATTCACTACAAGAAAACTAAACATTTACTAGGAAACTTTACTAGGAAAATAATTCCTCGTAAAATTACTACGAGTTTACTTCGAGTTTACGAGGAAACCATGTTTCCTCGTAAGGTTCTCGTATACTTACGAGAAAACAGTTTCCTCGTAAAGTCGTAGTAACATTACTAGGACTTTACGAGGAAAAAAACGCGGGCANTAAACATTTACTAGGAAACTTTACTAGGAAAATAATTCCTCGTAAAATTACTACGAGTTTACTTCGAGTTTACGAGGAAACCATGTTTCCTCGTAAGGTTCTCGTATACTTACGAGAAAACAGTTTCCTCGTAAAGTCGTAGTAACATTACTAGGACTTTACGAGGAAAAAAACGCGGGCATAGCTATTTCCTAGTAAAACAGTTTCCTCGTAAAGTCCTAGTAATTGCTTACTACGAAATTAAGAGGAATAATTTTGTTACTACGAAATTAAGAGGAACTAGATAGAAAATATCGAATTTAAATTTTATAGCTACTTTCCCTAGCAATTTCTTAGTAAATTCTCAGATTCGAAAATTTCTATAAATACCACCATATGTGATTCATTTGAAACACACCAAACAAATACAAAATACTCAATTCATAACTGAAAGAAGTTCACAGTCAACATAATAGTTTCTTATCAACTCCTCATAGCTTTTCCTCAAAGAAGTAGCTTGGGGCTTTTCTTCAGGTAAATAGTTCGAGGAAAGCTATGTGGGGTTGATAAAAACCGTTCCAATGACTGTATACTTCTTTTAGTTTTTTTAAAAAAATTTGTGATTTGGGGTTTAGGAAGATGTATAGGTATAAGTTATGGAAGTTGGTTTAGGTTTAGGGTTTAGGTTTAAGGTTAGGGTTTAGGGAATTTAGATTAGGTGGTTAGTTTAGGGAACTTATATTAGGTTGTTTAGTTTTGAAAATTTGGGGTTTAGGTGTA